CCATCCCTCCATCCATCCACTCATCCATCCACTCATCCATCCACCCATCCATCCATCCACCATCCATCCCTCCATCCATCCACTCATCCATCCACCCATCCGCCCATCCATCAATCCATCCATCAATCAATTTCTCTCTCTCTCTTAGGGGCTTTACACGACCTCCCAAGGACTCTGTTAAAGTTCCAAGGGAAATCCATGATAAGTCAGGGAAGACTGAGGATATCACACGGCCAGGAATTCTCTTATTATATTGTTTTTTCCCCCCTCACACTAACCACCTGCTTAGGAAAGATTTTGGAGCTATACACATCTCATCCCTTGGGACTTTTTTTTTGCTCCTAACAATATCAAAACCGAAGATTTATAAAAAAGAAGATATTGTGCAAATATCAAAACTTGCCATTTAATTCCATAAAATAGGTGTTCCCCCATTGTAACGGGAGGAGGGGAATGAAGTCGTAGCAATGTCAGTGGCTCACCCAAGACCCCATAGCTGGACACCAGCCCCAGAGAGAGAACACTGGCCAGCTCTTCCTCCCCCTTCCACCCTGCCACCTTAGCTGCTTATGGCTCTAAAGTCTTATGAAACATAACACTTAAGGCCACTCAAAATGAAGACACCCCCGTGAACTCCCGGGAAGCTGTGAGTACCCGGGATTCGGTTTCACAGCAGGGCTTGCATACCTGGTCGAACAGCTCGAAGAGCTTGGCGCTGGGCTGGTGGATGGTGCAGATGATAGACCTCCCTCCTTGAGCCAGTCCTTTCATCAGGGAGACCACCTGGAAGCAGGAGGCGCTGTCCAGGCCGCTGAAAGTCAAGGGGCACCATGAAATGCCTGCGGGACGCCCAAACCGTACCCCATACTCAGAGCACATTGGGTAGGTCTGTGCATGCGAGCCTGAGCCCATGGATGTCTCCTAGTCTCAGACAGCGAGAGGGAGGTAAATCAGGCCTCTGCTCTGTGACCCTGGAATGGAAGGCAAAAAGACGAGGCAGGCAGAGCACACGCCTCCCCCTTTGGAGGCTACAGTAAGGCCCCCGGTACTAACTGCTGGCGGAGACAGCAGGGGCTCTTCCCTCCACTGCTCCTGATTACCTGGTGGGCTCGTCGAAGAACATGACAGGAGGGTTGTTCACCAGCTCCAGCGCGATGGCCAGACGCTTCCGCTGGCCGCCCGAGAGGCTTCCTGTCCGCGTGTTGGCACAGGACAGCAAGCCCAGAGCCATCAGGATCTCCTTGACCTGGGGGGGGCAGCAGAGCCAGAGTGGCTGTCAGGGACCGCCCACCACACCTCACCACCTCCAGGGCCCATGTGGAAACACCCACCGCCTCCCCTACCCCACTCGTAGACACATAGGGAAAGACATGCACATCAGGGCCCACCCCAGGCTGCTGTTGCCAAGTGGCCAGGTGCATTTTGAAGTCCGAAGGTCCTGATTTGGGCCCAGGAGGCTGAGAAGCATGCTGGAGCCAGGCTTCCGCGGGCTGGAGCCCTTGTTCTGCCTCCTGCTGGTGACCTTCACTTGTAAGCGTCACTCGGGGCCCCGGTCAGGGAAGGTATTAATAAACATTTGTAGAATGGGGGACGGGTGGACACATAGATGGACGGATGATCAGGTTTCTGATCAGCACAGAGGGAAGGGCCACGGAATCAAAGTGCTTGGCGCAAGGCTTGGCACTCAGTAAGCATTTAATCGACGGCAGCTATTAACATACTATTACTAACGCACGCAGCTCCTGCAGACACACAACCACACAGGCCAGGCCTCTCGGAAAGACAGAATGGAGCCCCTTCTGCGCTTGTCAATAGGAAAACAAGGTCTCTGATGTGGCAGCAAGGCGATGACACTGCTTAAAGCTGCCACCACCTCCTGCAGTGGCCCCACCCACGTCCGCTCCCGGGAAGCAGGCTGGGCTCTGGCGTACAAACAGTCCGCTGTGCACTGAGCCCTCCCCTTCTGCTCCGGATTATTGATCCAGTATTGACTCAGGGAACAGAATGGTCAGCAGACTTCAGTGCAGGCTCTGGTGCTGGTTTCAGCCGCAGCGTTCACGGTCCATCCCAGCATCTTCTCAGAGGTGGCCACAGGGAGGGGAGCTCAGCTGCCGACCTCCCTGCCCCCATGTCAGTCTCACCTCCTGCGGGCAGCCCACCTTGGAGGTCACTCCAGAATTTGCCCAGCCATTGTCCTGGCCTTGGTGGCAATATTGGGCAGACCCCAGTCCAGTGGCTTCTCTGGGGAGATGAGGTCATCCAAAAAGAGAAGGAACTCACAAGAAAGACACTTTGCACTCCAGCTCTTGAACTACTTATGTACGGTCAGTACAAAATGTGGCTTGGTGACAGAAAGAGCCAGGGATCTGCTGCTCCAGGGGCCGGGCAGCAGTTGGGTCAGACAGATCTGGGTTCAAATCCCACTCAGCCTCTCCCTTGCTGATACCAGCTCCACCGCCTCTTCTAGAAGGCACCGCCTTTGAGGGAAACCAACTCAGGAGGAAAGTCAGCGAGGTCGCCCAGAGGAGGCCATCCAGGTGCGGTGGGTGGGGAGGGCTCTTTCTGGCACACTTTCCCTCCCGTGCAGACAGCGTCTGTCGGCTTTCCCAGAACAACCAGGCCATCGCAGTCTTCAGAACCACAGGCCGAAGCTGCGGGATGAAGAGTCACTCTGACTGTTCCAGGCTTGCTTTGGGGCCTCCACAAACACGCACATGCCCCGTCCCGGTCCACCATCTTTCTTCCCAGGGCTCTCCCCTTGTGGCTGAGCATGCCCTCTCCCTGACCTGCCCTCATCCCCCGCGGAGAGGAGGCTGGAGGTGGAGACGAAAGTCGGTGCCTTCCTGTCCCCAGCCTGTCCAACACATGTTCTCCAGTGTTCTCTCAAGAGTGCCGCCCCGCAGGTTGGTTTTGTTTGAAAACTAGTCAGAAAGAACAAACAATGTCCCAGCCCTGGGAGACCTTGCTCCTGAGGAAGCCCCCTTGCTGAGGGCTCTCGAGGGCTGAGGCTACTTTTTTGGGAAACAAGGAAAGCCATGGATAACACATTCTACTATCTGCTGGAACATTCCATTTTATTGTGTTTCCGTGAGATATAAACAATAGAGATCTGGGTCCACGCGGAGGGAAATGAGTCAGGGCATGCAACCAGCGGCTGTTTTATCCTCGAAACAATCACATGATCCTGAGGATGGATTCTTGGGGGAGGTGGAACCTACACAAGGCTGAGAACCAGGAAGAAGGGTCCGCCCGGCCCAAGCTGGGGTTTCCAGTGAAACGGGTGCAGGATCTAAGAACACCTCCAGGCCCTGAAGGGATGGTTTGTTGTCCTGTGCAATCTAGCAGCAAACGAATCTGAAGAGAGGCACAAAGCTCTCACTCCCTTGGGAGGATTTAGCTACATGGTGGCAGAGAAGACTCTTATCAACTTGATGTTTTTGCCCCTGTAAACCCAGCTGAGAGCAGCATGATGCTCTCCTCCAATCGTGTCTTAGGCCAGGCACCTGCCGGACAGGCACACGGGAATGGAGACACCTCCATTCCCAACCAAGACGGCCATCTCCTGCCCGTCCCTTCCACTCGAGCAGGCAGAGCAGGCTCCTGTGGCCCTCCCCTAGGACTCTGATCAGCTACCCAGCTGGGGGCTGGAAGCTGGCTTCTGAAGGTCATGACTTAACAGACAAAGCTGGTGCAGGAGGCAAAAGGCTGGCTGGCTGTGCTCCTCAATCTAGAAGGTCGGCTGAGAAGCACACCCTCGTCCTCCCAGTCCTTCAGCAAAACGTACTTTCCCCAGTTCCCCTTCTCACCGGGAAAGGCTGGTCCATGCGAGTCATACTGCAGGGAAATCATCCCCTGGCCTGCTTACTTAAGGATCACGTCTGTTCTCTGGAGCTCAAAGACGTTAAAGACATCATCTAATGCAGCTTCACGCTGCCCGGAGGGCAGGTGGGGCCTGGCCTTCCGTCCCCTCAATAGACGGAAGCCCAGGGTACCAGAGGCAGTGGCCCAAGGTTATCCAGTGGGTTCTAGGAGGCCAGGGCTGAAGGAGCTCCCCTCCCCGGTGGGCTCAGTTCTGCTTCACCACAGGGTCCCCTCCACGTCAGCAGGTCCCTCTGACCTCCCTCTCAGCTCACCCCCATGCTGTGTGATTCCTGATCTTAAATATACACTGGTCCTCTCCTCACTAAGTGGGGCTTTCCCGCCCACGCTGGGTCTGCTTACCCAGCCTCCCGGCCCCCTGGGGTTTTAGGAAACTGAAAAAAACGATGAAAGGGATGACAATGTCTCAGTCATCCCAGAAACTTGTTTATTTTATTTTTTATAAGGCTGGTTAATAACACATAAGAACCAAATTTCTTCTTGTGCGTGTGTGTGTGGAGGCTGGTTATTTTTAAGTGAATGACTAACCATCTTCATTGTTAGTGTTTTATAAAAGAAAACAACGGAGTAGAAAGCATATTGAACACTAAAAGAGGCAGGGCGCTCGGTCCACCCTGAGGCTGGGTCTCCCGGCCATCTAAGCTTTCAGGCTGGTGTCCTGCCACGTCCTTGCGTGGCAGCGCCTGGATCTGGAAGCAGAAGCTCTGGCTCTTGTGGTGGAGTGGTCACTCCAGGGTCCCAGCCGCCAGGCCAGGGCGCACACTGAGATGTCACCGTCCCCTCCCACACAGAAGACTAGGCGACAAAGCAACACACAAAACCAGCCCCAACAAGTCCCCCAACACACGTTTGCCAAATGGATTTCACACACTTTTCGGACCACTTGAGGCCCAAGCACACACTTACCATCTCCCTTCTGCCTTCGTCCTTCTCCTGGAGCTTCAGATGTGCAGACACCTACAGGGGGCGAGGACCACAGTGTGGAATCGGAACAGACGGCTGTGGGCGGGGCACACCTCACATGCCACACCACAGGCCCAGAGCCCCAGTGGCCCCCGAGCTGCTGAATGATGGAGGTAAACCCTTGGAGGTCCTGGCTTCCACCCTCCCTGGGCTTTAGCAAAGGCGGGATGGGGAGAGCAGTCCACATCGGGTGCCTCCTGTTATCGCAGTGGAATTCTCTGCTGTACCCATGAAAGAAGTCCAATGTGGGCAGTCGAGAGATAAGGAAACCCCAGGCATCAGGGGCCTGAAGACCATTGGTGTCTATTCAGGAATTTCACAAGCCACCTGTTAAACCATTGATAGCTTAACATGATCCATAGTGGGAGGATCTACACCACAGAAATTGGCAGGTGCTGCATATCAGGACTCAGGTTTTGCTGCTATTGTTTTGTTTTGTTGAGATTCTGTTTGCCAGCACACCACTGGGCCCCTGTCCCTGCTTGGTAACACCCTGGTGGCCACCATCACGCCCAGTATCAGCCTTGGTTCTGCTCTGCTGACTTCTCTGCCTGTGGGAGACTAGGAGCCTCAGTTTCCTGTCGGCACAATGATGAGTTAGAACCTGCCCACCCAGTGAGCTAGTGAAGTTTCCGTGAGGACCAGTGAGAGACCGAGACTCAGGGGAGTGGGGTGAAGAGGCCCTGGTCCCAAAGTCAGATGGGCCAGGACCTAGGTTGGCTCAACAGGGCAGCTGCCTGCCTGTGACACTGAGTGTCACTGCTCAGTCCTCCTGGTGGCTGTGAGGTCAGAAGCAGCAGGTGGAAATGCACAACCGATAGCCAGCAGCCAGTATCACCCCTACAGGGGTGGCAGGACCTTGAAAAGTAAAAGGTGCCATTGCCTCAAGCTGAAAGTATGTTTTAGAGGCATTGAGAAAGTCTCAAAGTCAAAATCTAATTTAATTCTGAAAATCAATGGACTTCACAGCAGAGCCTGGCGACAGGGTAGGGGGAGGTCAGAGGTGACAACAGGAGTCACCAATCTTGTCTGCAGAAGAAAGCAGTGATTGAGCTGGAAATCAAAGGGAAGCTTCTCAAACAGGTGACCAAGTGCTTAATTCAATAAATTTCTGAGAAGCTAAGATGAAGGTGAAGTAGCAATTCAGGAGTCAACAGGGCACCTTTAAAGCCTGTATTTACTAATTTACTATTCTACTACAAACTCCTCCTAAGTTCCCTGGGCCCCCATCAGACTCCACACCTGGAGGCCGGATAAACAGTTAGGACCGCCCAGAGCATGTGTCTGCTCGGGGAGGCCGAGCCGGGTGCAGAAGTCTCCTGGTACTTACAGAGCCTCAGCTCCAGGGACGAAGAACTAGAACAACCCTGCAGGGCTCTCTCTTTCTGTTTGCCCACAAAGCAGGTTAGGGAGCAGATCACGTATCCCACACCTTAACCTGCTTCTCTTTGCCCAGCTGAGAATCCCTTGGAATTGCCCCTGGGATGAAGCACCCGGCAGCCCCACTCCCAGACACTCAGGGAGGAAGTTCTGCCCAGCCCAAGTGAGGGGTGCAGGGTGAGACCTCTCCTGGCAGGGAAACCAAAGCGAACGCCCGTCTATGACCAGGGCTCAAGGCAGACAGGCTGAGAACATCCCCCACTGCGCCAGGAGAGGCCCGGAGGCCAAGCCCCATCTTCTGCAGTGACAAGGAGAAAAGGAAAAACCAGCAGCCCCGTGATGAGCAACAGGCTGCCAATGGATCTTCCCATCTCCTCTTAGCACCTCCCCCACTGCCCACAGTTGGGTCAGTTGGTCCTTGTCAGCATGAGCCGGGCCTTTAAAATAATGGTCCTGGAAGTCCAGCGTCACTGCACTTGGCTGGGTCTGGTCTGTTCAGGCCAGGCCGTTCTGGACCCCATTGTACAGGACGCCCTGGGCTAACAGCTCAAGTGTTGGAGGGGCTCTTTCTCAAGTGCTCTTGTAGGATTACGTGTGTGATGACTGGGCTGGGCTATGTGACTGCAGGGCCTGGGACCCAGGAGGTGTCCAGCAAATGCTGGTTTCGCTCACCCACCCGGCAGGCGGGTGAGTCAGAGGACGGGACTCTCGGGGCCCTAACCCCGGCAATGGGTTGCCTGGAACTTGGGCCCAAAGCCACAGAATGACTCAAGGACAGCTGACAGGAAGGACGGACCCTCAGCCCATGGGGAGAAGCACTGTGGTCATCCTGGAAGTGGTCAACCACATCAGTTGGGTCAATAACCTTCCTAGAAACTTGACCTCGATTTTGTCATCCAGGGTCTATGAGAACCAGGGTCTCGGGGGTTTGTTTTCGATGGAGCTGTCCAAACAGCAGGCCTGGTGTCAAAACTCCACTCGAGGGAGGGGTGCTGACTCTGTGCAGGGCCTGGCAGAGCGCCGGCCCCATGCTGGGCACTGCTCCGTCTAATGCGGAGGAAAGAGGGGGCGGCCGGGTGCCGGAGCACGGGCTCTTTACAGGGGCGCGGCTCACCATCATGGCCTCCTGCACGGTGAGGTGTGGCAGCAGCATGTCGTCCTGCATGATGTAGCAGGACACTTTCCGGAAGCAGCGCAGGTCCCGGGGCAGGCCGTTGATGAGGACCGCCCCCTTCATGCCGGTCTCCCTGCCAGGCCAAGGGGAGGACGCTGTTAGCCCGACTCCCTCTGCTCCTCCCCCCCAGCATCTTCCCGGTGGGACCACCTGCCATAGAGATACCGAGGGGGTGGAAGGGACGGGAGACCCAGAACAGCAGCAGCACTCATGGAGAGGAATTGCAGGGAGAAAATGCCCAGCATGGACAGGGAAAGTGAGGGTGAGCTGTCTCTGGGATGGTGTGTTGGTGACAAGTGCCTCTAAACAAACAAAGATACGCATGGATGCTGCTACCCGCAGCCACGAGGTCGGATGCACATCCCTGACTTTTTGGGCATTTGTAAGATGGGCTTCTGAGCAATGCTGTGTGCAGCCCAGGCTACACTGATGGCCCCAAAGGTCGACTCTATAGTCGGGGGTGTGGTCGCCACATCAGAACCAGTTCTTGAGGGCGCGCCTCTGACACCCGACTGGGAGGCAACACAGCAGGGTCCCTGGGCTCAGGTGGCTCAGAGAGGAGGGCACCTGGGCCCTGGACCTGCTCAGCCAAGAGCATGGTCCTTCTCCACAGGGCAGTTGTTCTCTCTGACCACAGTGGGCAGGTTGAGGCGTCCCATGTGCGCTGTGGAGATGGAGGGGCCCAGCCCTGCCAGCCACACTCCCTCACTCCCACACCCACTGTGCATCTCTACTGCCCGGTGCTCTCCTGGTGCATCAACTCAGCCGGGGGAGGCAGTGGGAGCCATGGGTATCCCGATAAGGATGCATTTTTCCAGCCCTGCCTCCTAGATGCCGTGGAGAAGAGAAACATAGAGGGTCTATGGAGACCAGTGAAATGACATCTGGTTTCCAACGTCATTGGCCATCACCGTGGGCCTTGTGGTGGGCCCTTCTTTCCCGCAGAGAATGGGCTGGGGTCAACCGGCTTCCCCGGGAGCGAGGCTTGGTGCCCACCGTCTCTAAGCGGCCGTCCATGGCTCCCAAGCACTGTTCAGGACGGCCAGGAGCTGGGAGTGTGGGATGTGCTGAGAACGGCTGCCCCACAGAAACTGCTCGCCTCTCCTACGTCCCTCCCTCGACGCTGGGGTTTGGGAATTTGGCTCCAACCTTCGGATATGAATGCAACAGGCAGGAATTCATGGTGAGATTTTTTTTTTTTTTAATCTTGATTTCTAGTGTAAAGAAGTAATTCAGAAGTCCTAAGGAAAGGGTGATATTTGTCTTTTTTTCCCAGTAAATGAAATTATTGTTACTATTATTATTATTTGCTAAAGTTAGCAAATGGAACCCACGAGAGCTGAAAAGAACTGGCTGTAAGAGAGCATTTGCAAACACTTGTAAGGATTCAGTTTTCGCAACATTCACACTGGAATGACAGTGGGCAGGATGTCGGGGACTGGGGTTTCCAAACCTGGAAATGACTAACAGCCATGAGCAAGAGCCACACGAGCTCTGGGCCGGCTGTTGTCCTCGTCCTTCGCTTAGGAAAATGCTCCTCTGACTTTTGGCCTCCAGGCATGCTTGTCTCGGAGGTCTCCTGCCGTCCCCATCCCCAACCCTGACCTCCCCACTTCCTCCTGTCCGGAAGGCCTGGCCAGGCTGAGCTCATTCAGCAGAGCTGGCCATCTTACCCCACGACCTCCCTCCCTCGCGTCCATTCTCCACGTCAGCTGCTGCCTTAGACACCTTCAATGTCCTTCTCCTCCCGGGCTGTTTCCTTCACAGATTCCAAGGCCTCTTATTGCTAAACCGCCTCAGGCTTTGTTGGAGCCAGGACAGAAATGGTGGGACAGCTGAAGAGGTTTCACTGTTCACACTGTTCACCCAGGCCCACACCCAGGTGAGGACCTCACTCTCCTTGGGAGGGTCTGCTCACCTATATCCGGCCAGAATGTTCATAAGCGTGGACTTCCCAGCCCCGGAAGGACCCATGATGGCCACCAGCTCCCCGCTGTTGAATTTCCCGGAAATTCCTTTCAGAAGGGTCTTGTATCCTGCAGAAAGCAGAACACATTCCTTTTCCATCACAGGGTTCATTTGGTCTTACCCCCGATGCTGTACAGGCAAACACACAGTATGCCTGACTAGAGAACTCAGGCCAGAGGTAAGACTTTCACACCATAGTATGAAATGCCAAGTTCTGGGCAAGAAAATGGACCTCGCGTCTCTTTTACATTTTTGTCTACCTCCTCAGTTGCATTTCATGTAATTAATTCCAACTATATAATTACATTGATTATATTAATGACAATGACCAGTATATGTATAATGCTTTAGAGTCGACAAAGCACTTCCCATACACCATCTAGGATAGAGGAACCCAATATTCTTATTTCAGATTGAGGAAGTGGTGTCCAGTGGGCCCGGGCAACGTGCCCTGGCCCCCCCCAGCCAGTGTGAACATATCCTAACCCAGGGCTGCACCCCCAGCCACGCTGCTTCCGACCCCCCGATGGGAAGCAAGTGCCTTTATTAATTAAATGATTAATGTCTTATTTCATTTACAAGCTATTTATAATGTATATATTTCTATAAATATAAATTATTTATATCGAATGTATTCATAAATCATTACTTTATAATTAAATAATTAAAATATTAATTAATGAATAATTAAAAGTTTATCCTTTTGCAGCCACATCAAATTGCTTTGAAATTTCTGCCAAGCCTCCATCCAAGGGCTTTGTGAAAGGAAGAAAACTACACATCCCAAACAGAGAGAGCCACATTGATTTTTTTCAAGTAGACTGTTCAAATCTGCTATAAAGAATGAAATTGAAGCAACTGGATTCATAGATAAAGACTTCTAATTCAGAAACCTTTCTCAGTTTCTGAGAAACTTGCAGAATGTACCCTTAAATCATCAGAATCATACAAATGCAGTGTTTTAGCTTCACGCACAAGGTTTAAGGGGCCCGATAAGAAACGGGGCGTGTGGGCACTCCACAGAGTCCCTGGTCTGGGACACTCTCTCCAATCGCCAACTGGACGCTCCCTGGACCACCAAATCTATATGTTTCCACAAGCCCCAGTCAGGGTCTCGACTTTCACAGATGGGACACCTGAACACCAACCTGTCACCAGGTGCCACCTGGATTTGGACGGGGAGTCCCTGAGGCCCTGTTTAACCGGGCAGAGTGAAGTGGGAGCAAAAGGCAGGAAGCCAGCAGCCCTGCGATCTGACTCAGTACGGAGGGCGGGGGAGTCATCCCGGTAGGGGGGGCGGGGCAGCCTAGAGCAGCCAGAACCGCAAAGGAGTCAGACTCCCACCATCGGGATGTCGAAGCTGAGAGGTCGGCAAACACGGGCACTGAGAGCGGAGGAGACCAGTGTGGGGAGGGGACGGGGACCCCAGAGCCCCACGTCTGCCGCTCAGTGAACAGAAGAGCTGGGGGACAACCCTTCCTCTGCCACTGTGCGGGCTCCTCCTCAGGACAGAGCTTTGCGATGTGGGGCCAGGTGCTCTGGGGACCTGAGCCACAGGGGACCAGCATGACATCACCGAGGGAGTCCTAGATGCCAGGCGTCTGCTATTACCCGCCACTTGTCGGCTCAGGTCGGGATCGGGGTTACTCCCGAGCAAATCTTCCTTTAAGCTCTTCCCTCTCGAAGTTCGAAGCTAATCCCCAGCTGGTCCCTGTAAACCAGGAACTGCCTGAGGAGGCAGACAGTTCACAGAGATGACCTCAGGCCATCCGGAGGTCAAGTACAGTCTGCAGAGGGGTCAAGAAGCCCCGAGGGCGACTTTACGCCTCGGGGTTCCAGGAGGCTTTTTCCCTCCGGGCAGAGCCCATGGGTGCTGCTCTCGCTCTGACAGCACCTGGGGCCGGCGCTTGGTGTTGGGGTCCATCCTGGGGCACTACATAATAACACTGGCTTCGGGAAGCTCACACAGGCTGCCATGCCCACGGCCAGGATGCCGGGGACAGACCTGGGTGTGGGAGCTGCGGGAGCATCTGACCCTTTCAAGGGAAAAGCCGGGCAGAGTGGGGGGTATAGACAGTGGTCTCATCATTTAGAGCCACCAGGCTGGAACTGTGGGTCCGACTGTGAACCCCGGTGCTAAACTGATACACGGTTGAGTCAAGAGAGGTATGCTGTCTCATGAGGCTGACAATGCACGTCTCAGAGAGGGAAGCTGGCTTCCAGGGTAACATGGAAGGACAGGGGGTGCCTGTGACTTGCTGCAGTGCCGGCTGAGAAGGGTCCTCAGGTGTGAGACCCAAGTGGGGCCCACCAACTCAGGGCTGCTCTTCTGTAATATCAGAAACCTGTTTTTCTTTAAAAACGATCAACACGCATTTGGGATTGAAGAATCTTAAAAGTAACATGGCGGGGGGCCGGCCCAGTGGCACAGCGGTTAAGTGTACGTGCTCCGCTTCAGTGGCCCAGGGTTCACAGGTTCGGATCCCTGGGCACGCACCGATGCATGGCTTATCAAGTCATGCTGTGGTGGTGTCCCAAATAAAGTAGAGGAAGATGGGCATGGATGTTAGCCCAGGGCCAATCTTCCTCAGCAAACAGAGGAGGACTGCAACAGATCTCAGCTCAGGGCTAATCTTCCTCACACACCAAAAAAAGTGACATGGGAACAGAAGTCAGGAAGGCATCAATCTGTCCTTCTGGACTGCAGAGGCTGGGCAGAGGAGAGAGCACACACTCGGCACCATGCCGAGGACTGGGAGCTCCAGTCAGGGGCAGTCCCGTTAGAGTCGGGTTCGTGAGCGTCCAACTGTAACGAGATCGTCCTTGCTGCAGAGGCTCGAGTTTTGTTCCCTTACTGAAATATGAAATGAGACGGATCCATCCCAACCCCCCCCCCCCCGCCCTACTTTGCCGCCGATGGACGCCAAGGACTCTGCTCAGCCCAGTCCTTGGCGAACTGGGGAAGCTGCCTCCTTCACGCGCTGTGGGCTCTTGTTTACATGGGTGCTTGTCCTGCACTGCTTTTCTGGTCAGGACAGTGAGCGCTTGGAGGATCACAAACACGAACACGAAAACTACCGAGGAGGCAGGGCCGTTGAACGCCCAACAGCCCCAATCGGTGCATGGGCGGACCATCCTTAAAACAGCCAGACCAAAACCCAGACCAGAGAGGAGAGGAGAGATGGAGAGACGGAGATGATGGAGATGATGGAGAGATGGAGAGAGAGAAATGGAGAGAGACAGAGAGACAAAGAGAGAGATGACAGTGCCCAGGTCCATCCATCACAGGGAACAGAACTCTGCTCCACCTCTGGACCCCAGTGAGAGAGCTCTGTTAGCAGTGAGCTTAGTGAGAAGACAGGGGCAAAGGCAGGAGTGCTGGGCCCAGAAGCGTTGGGGCAAACGGGTGATGGGCAGGAGGAAGGCCCTGTGGGAGGATAAGATGGATGCACAGGGTTCCAGCCACAGCACCAGTACCAGCCTGGGGTCAGTTTGTCTCATAGACCCTGATGCTTTACATCTAGGGGATTTTGAGGAGGGGTCTTCTTGGGAAAGAGGATAAGTGCAAAATGTGATGTTTGGTTCTGGCTGAGAGACTACGCAAGCCCGGCAGTCACAGAAAGAAACGCTGTTGTTGGCAGGGTGGATAGAGTGGGTACGCCCCTGGGCATGGGATAACTGTTTATGTCTGAGGAAGGAGAGAGGCGTGGATGCAAAGGAGAAGACCCACTGGCTGTAGGGAAGCCCAAGGACCACCTCGCCTGGTTCCATCTTTGATGTTGAAGAGCAGTTGGTGAGAAGCACAATTTGCTTTCTAGAATTCTGCTTTACAAATTACCTTGCTGTGTTTTGTAAGGAGAGCTGTAGGCATATCACAAAATTTCAAACGAGTCCTGCACGCCACCACACTATTTGGGCTTCTGGGCAGTTCAGAGCTGGTGGACAGGCCTTGTGCCCTTCCCAGTGAATACCAGGAAGGAAAAACAGAACCAGGAACCGCTTTCTCCCCGTAAACCCCGCTGATGACATTAAAATGAAGCCAACCTGAAAGTGACTTCTCCACGATCTAATCCGGTTTTCAAGAGAGTTGTGCTGTGTCCACAAAACCCTAAGGAGGCCATGCATCCACGCAGCACTCACCTGGTGGGGCTGTAATTGTCTACCGTGCACCTGTCCCCTCTGCTCCCCTCACCTTCCATCTCAGAACCTCTAGCCCTGGCTACTGCCCTGCCCAGCGTGGACACTCAGTTAGTGAATGATGGTGTAAATGAATAGAGGTTTAACATCTTGTAGATAAACGCTTTTGTGAACAGTCACCATTAAGTGAAAACAAAGGAGCTTCCTTAGTTATGTCTCCAGGATGTGTTACTTTTAGAATGTTAGCAATTCAGAAACAGCCTGTCAAGACGTCCTGAATCTCAATGATTCGGGTTCTTGAAGGTTCCTGAAGATCGATGATGGTGAGAATAAAGGAGACATGGGAGCAAGATTGCTTCTCATTAAGGGCACACCAGCAAGCCCAAAGCTGAGTGCCCAACATGAGCCTAGCCATCTGATAACTGCCCCCAACCCACACCTCATCTTGCCTCCCAGCTCTATTATTGCCCCTAGAGGCCGCTGGTCTGTGACAACGTGACCCGAACCATCGTCTGAACCACCATGTCCTGTGTGTAGAACAGTGCTTGGCATGGAGGGGTCACTTACAAAAATGTTTATGGAGTTAATGAGCAGAAGGCGAGCCCTTTGCACAAGCGAATCCTGAGTGACAGTCACCGTCTCGGGCACCACCACCTGGTTGGCACCTCTTTCCAAATCACTCTACCCAACAGGCCCAGACTCCTTTGGGATGTGAGCCATCATGTGCTGGGCCAGCAGGAAATGCCCAGAAGCCCCTGGAGGTCCAGCTGCCCGACAGTCCCTGAGGCCAACCCACAGGGCCTCGTACTGTCATGCGATGCATTTCAGAGGGACTGCTGGTGTCCCTCTGTCTCATGTCCTGTCAGGATAAACCCGTGCCCCAGTGGATGGCACAAAAGTCACCCATAAACCCTTATATAACAGCAATCAA